TTTCAAAGTTAGGCAAGCACCTCTATTTTTGCTGCAGAACACAAAAATTGAAAACAAATGACACCCAAACCTATGACTAACTCAGTAGGTTCCCTTTGTTGGTGGTCCATAAGCCATTCTGATCGCCAGTGTGAATTCTGTTTTTTCCTCCCTCCAATATCCTATTTGCATGTCAACTAAAAAACAAAGTTTCTCAAACTTCATCTATTAATTTGACTCAAAAGAAACAAGACGATAAAAATAACTAAGGCACAAATGGCTGATCTTCAACAGCAGGCAGAGGGGTCACAGTTTCGAAAGTATGGTAGAATGTAAATCCCCAGAAATATTTTTGGTCTTGGGGCACTGAAAATTCTTACCAGCTTTCACGAAAGGTTTTTCAAGATTTTTTACAAAGATTTGGAAAATACTTTTCCCAAGAATGTCCATGAACACTAAACAAGGATGGATGTACATACAAAGACACACACTTTATGCACAATACACTTTGAACATACTGCAGACAGACAAGGACCATGGAATGCAATGATCGTCTAAGATGGCAGGTGAAATGAAGATGACTGTTTTTCAGAGAGTCGTCATGAGTTTATCTTGGTACACCATACTTTGGACTCCTCCTAAATTCTTCTGGTTCTGTTCCTGGATATATCGTAAATTGCTGTCCTCTCCACTTGTGGGGGGTTTCCAGTATGGCCTGTCATCATGATAGGGTGGCCTGTACCATTTGCACAGTTATTGGTTAGTGAGAGATGGAAGTAAACGTACGAGTGCTACACATTAACATGAGTTCATCCAGCAAGTGCTAAGCATGCATACGGTGTGATGAGCAGCTATCAGTAAGGGAAGGAAATGGTGACAGACCTATAGGTCTGATGCAGAAGTCACTGAAGCAACTGGGAATCTTTTAGCTGATTTCAAAAGGCTTTGAATCAGAGCTCAGTCACTAAAAACCCTCTCTGTTTTCAAGTGTTACAGACCAGTGTCGTGCATCAATGCTCCTGAACCCCAGAGAAATGGTGGGGAGGGAGAAGGAGGCTCTAGGAAAACTAAATGCGTACAACAAACAAGTAAAATAAACCATATCATGCAAAAGGTTGAGCTCATGAAAGGCTAAAAAATTAAGAAAGGCAATCCCATTAAGAATGAAAATTGCTCTTCTGTAAATATTGCCATTCGTTCAGGGCTGGTGCAGTTAATTACACTGAAGCAGCTTAGAAGTTACATAGTTGCATTTTGTTAAGATGAACACCTAGAGTTTATAGCTAGTGCAGGTATTTCTCTGTGCCTACGCAGTGAAACTTGCAAAAGTACTAAGAGGAAAAATATTTTTTCCTTATTTGTTCATTACTTTTTGCTGCTTAGAGATATTAACCTCAACCACTCCTACAGTGTCTCCTGAATCACTGGGGTGGGGGGGAATAAATAAATTAAAAAAAAAATTTTTGAACAGTATGTAGGAAACCACAATATTGAAGATTCCCTTATTACCAAACTGAAGTTGCACTTTTTATTTTGGTAATTTTTTAAATGGTAGCAGAAATACAGGCAGGTTTAGATTTTACCTTTTTTTGGAGATACTCTAAAGTTATATAACGACAACTGTTAATTGGAATGAATTTTCACAGAAGACTGAACATTAAGTTAACTGCAAACAAATAATTCCACTGAAATGATTTTACTAAGAAGACTGAGACATAATTCCACCTATTATTTTACAAATTATTCAACAAAACCCCATATATGACACGTATTGCACAGGTAGTTTCATTTCAGCCCTTGGCCCATTCTAGACTTGCATGCCCAGCAGAAAGAATTTCATGCATCTGTGATTTGAGCTCATCTTCATAGTCGGATGGATTAAGCTTTCTCAAAGCAAGCTATCCAAGATGTCAAATGTCCAACTCTTCCACTTTGACTCCAAGTTAGAAAAACTGGAAGCTTCCACTTTAACCACACATTTAAATGCTTCTACCTGACTGGGACAAAAATTCTGAGCACCTTTTCTACCGAGCTTGCATGACTGAGCTTTTAAGTATGTTTTTTAGACTTACAAGCCTAGCTATAAAAAAGCCATTGTTCATATTTCACTGACCTTAATCTTTGCCCAGGCAGTGGAAGGGCTGAAGGGGGAGGTTGTCTACACACATTACAATACATTATTATGCTTATTTCAGTATCACTCTGCTCCAGGGTGAACTATTTGGCTTTAAAATGTTACAGACTAATATCATAAGTGAAGAAATCCTTAGAAAATTTCAGCAAAACCTCAAACGATTTATAAAATCATTAACCTCTCCTGGCAATCACTCTTTTGTAATGTGAAATTGTGGATTTTAAACCACACAAAAAAAATGGACAATTAAACCCTAAAACCAGGAAGAATCCTGAACATGAAGTACAGACAAAGTTAATAACCCAATTTAAAGTCTTTGTTTCTAGCATAAATTTATTATCTGCTTTACTGCCGTATGCTAGGAATTTTCAGATGACAACAAGTATGTCTGCTTCTCTGCCTAGTAAGTATTTCTAATAACATATTTGCCTTTTCCTGCATTCTCAGACTCAAACTTGGACCAAATTGTCTTTTCATCCATTTTAAGTTCAGCCTCATCTCCAGAGCCTGCCTACACTAAGAACGAAGTCTACCTATCCTGATGTACGAATATAGAGATAAAAATGTAAGACGAATAGGAATGGAGATCAGGGTATCGGTATTTTTCAGTCAAGACAGTAATTATTTGTCTAAAAAACTGCATAACCTAAAAAGGTTACTTTGTATTAGGATAAAATAGCAGCTGATTTTTATCACGTGCACAGGCATAGACATATATCCACCAGCAGGTGTGTGCCTCCACTGTGTGCTCCACCAAGCTGGTTCTAACTTGGACGGAATTTCTTCCAAAATTTCTTTTCACTCAGTTTCTCTCATTGCTAGTGACAAAATAAAGAAGTATGCAAGAAGATAGCATAATAGCATATACAGGAATATTTTTGTGAAACAGTTCTCAAAAACTCAATGTTATGATTTCACTAATTATCTGTAAAGCGCCTGACACATTGTTCCACGTATATGTTATTTTTCCATATACATTTCTGCAAAAGATTAAAAAAGTGTTGCAATGCAAGAATCTGTTCACCCGTAACTTAACTTTACCCTAAAATGAGTTGCTTCTTTGTTTTAGGAGATTAAATACTGATCAAATTGCCATTAGTTTTATTGAAGCTACTGAGCTTCCAACATACTCCCTACAGAAATATACTAAAGTTGTATTTCAAATTCTGAATTAAAAATCAACCTGAAAAAAAATTTCATCACGGAGATTAGGACATTCCAAAGCAAAATCTAAATTGAAGTTATTTAATACTGCCTCTACATCACGTATTTCTAACTTCTGTTTGCTTTTCATGTGCAGAAAATCGTCCACCAAAGCTTCATGCCAACAGATTAAGATAAAGAAAGAAGTAATCATCTTTTTCACAAAGTGAGGATTGCTTACCTTACATTCACAGGTGTATGTGGATGCCAGTGTGGCTGAGCAGGATGTATATTAGGGTGATACTGTGGCTGCAAGTGAAAACATTGAACCCAGTTAATGAAATCATATAAAAACTCCCTATTAACTTTAACTTTTTATCTTCCTGGGGCCATGAGGAACATGCTCCCTGTGAGCCCTAGAAACCCCACTTTTCAGATCTTCTCCCATGCCATTTAGCATATACATGAGACCTCTTGGTGATGAGCTTGCTCGTTAGGACACACTCATGGGAAAACGCAAAGAAAATTGCTTTTCTGTTTGAGAGACAACCTCGCACATCTAGTGCTTCTCATAGAAAACACATGAAAAGAATGTCAGCTTTAATCAAAGGTGGGGAGTGAGAAAGGTTACTATTATAATAGCAGTCTTCAGGAGGTCACCTATCTTTGGTGACAGCATTTCTCTCTCATATCCATGAGATCTTGAGGAGAAACAGTGAAACAAAACCACTAGTGAGGCTTCTAATAAAAACAAGTGTTAAGACTAAGTTCTCATGCACACACTCAGTTTGGATGAAAGCACAGCTTGCTTTCTCAGTAGCACTGACTGCTAGTATCACAGATGAAAACCAGATAAGGTTTTTCCTTGAAGTCTATAAAGGAGCTTGTTTAAAAAAAAAAAAGACAATAAACAAACATTTGACCAGCAATGAACTCCTTAAGTGTTGTGATAGGGAAGATAATTGCAACTTTGAACTTCTTGTCAGGGATCACCCGATTTGAGAGGCTGCTCTAGACAAAAGCGTTGCTCACAGAGCAGTCGGGAAGGGGAAGGGGAAAAGCATGGCAAATGGCGTGTATTCAGCTTGCAGAGCATCCAAGAACACAGTGGAAAAAAGAGAGAAGAGTTCCTCCACTTTCCCCTTAACTCCCAACCTGATGCTGTTTATTTCTGAACCACCTCAGAGAATCTCACCTCAGAGTAAGGAAAGGGGAGCAAACCAGCTGTATTAACTATAGAGAGAAAAAAATATTTACCACTAAATAAGAAAATGACAATATTGTCCTCAACAATTGTTATGCTCTTACCTGGTAGTTATGGACTTCAGGAGTATTTTTAGCACTAAGGGAGAAAAAAAAATTAGCTTTTATGTAATCAATATATCTATGTCACAATTCCCTATAGTTCAGGGTTCTACTCTTCAGGGAAGTATCACAGTGAAGTAAAATTCATATTCTTAAGGGCATCAATATTTTATTCAAGATATACACCACAGCAATTAGGGTGCAAGAAAGGGGATTGCAAATTTTTTTTCTTCATTTTACATTTATGAAACAGGAACAAATAATGCTAGATAAGTTAGCATAATAGCAACAAGCAGAAAGGAGATATGCTTTACTTTAGTCTGATCTCAAACACAATAAGAAAAAAAAAAATTAAAAAATGGAAGCACTTAAAGTCTCATAGGTGGTCCCCAAGAAGAATCTGGTGCTGCCTAATGAGAGATCCCAAAGCAGTTCATCCCACACCAGAGAATTTCTTTCATCAAATCCTAATGCAGAAATGGTCTTCAGAATCCCGTTTGTCTGACAACAGCAATTGAGAGGTAGAGAGAACTTGGGCAGTCACTTACCACAGTTGTGCGGCTTTCACAGGATTGTTTGCTTAAAAAGAAACAAACAAAAAACCTTAAGACAGTTGAAAAAAACTTAAGACGTGAACTATCAGTCACTTTGCAGCTATTGTGATCAGGATGTTCTACAGCTTAAGCTTACCTCATAATCCTGTATGAGGATAGAGACACATTTGCACAAATGCGTCAGAATCTCAAGTGCAGCCCTGTGCTTTCTAGCATTTCTGTGTGAGTACATAAAGTATGAGGCAGACACGAACCTCCCTCTGTCTCTGCAAGAGTCAAACCCATCAAAGATGACAGCAGACAAGAGTATTCTTCCCAAATGTCACAAAAGAAGGACTTTTGGCAGAGTGAGTTCTGCACAACCAGAGCACTACTTTTCTCACCCTGCTGTAGCTACCATGTCAATACCACTGTGTCCCTTGAAAATCAGAAGCTACCTCTCACAGCAATTTTGCATCTTACAGAAACCAGAGTATTCCTGAAATTGGTAATGGCCTGTGTCTTATTACAATGAATGATGGTAGCCAAAAAAGCCCATCAGTTGGGAATACAGAAAGGCACTGAGCAATCTTGAGCAACAAGGTCTTGGTTTGTCCTTTGGACAGGCTGGAAAGAACAATGAAGAAGGCAGCTGAACAACTGGGATGTATCATTTCTTTTTCCTGACAAACAACGTATTTTTCAATAGTATTGAAAAACTGCTGAGTGATACAGCTGAAAATCCAAGTCTCTGCTGAATGCAGAAAGTGGATGACAAACTTAATGAGACACTGTAAAAGTCTCAAAGAGACTGAGCTAGGACAGAATCCAACGCTTGTGGGCTGCAACTAGGTACAGGTCTTAATGGCCAAGAGATGCGTAAAAGACAATAATCTAAAGGGAGTTTTTGCATTAAGTTAACAAACATGTTGTTGAGCTCTGTGGAGGCAGATCATCTGGGTATGACAGAAGATCTGCTTGGCTGCTATGCACAGAGAACTAAACTGAGCATAAACCACACTTTCTCTCTTCTCCCCCCATCTCACAGACATAAGTATGGAAGCACTGAGACGCAAGGTATAACCTGCAGGTCTGACAGATCCTGTTATTGTAAAAATTGTAAAATTAAAATAATCTGTTCTTCCACTTATGAAATCATCCACACTTACCATATAATTGACTCTCATGTATCACATAACAGTATCTCTCAAATTTAATAAATTTGCATTTCCGTAAAAAACTGACTAGGGGAGCGTGTCACAGCCTCTAGAAAGCATGCATGCTTGCTACCCTTTTCCCCCCATTGTACATGAGAAATAAAAGTGCTACAAAGAGTTTTCATGGAACTGACGTTCATATTCTAGGAATGCAAAGGAGCGCAAAGACATCCTAAGGGAATGTCAGCTCACCCTGCTCCATACAGAAACTACACCTCCAGCCTCAAGTAACACAGAATTTAGAGGGGGTTGTCTTGCAGTGCTCCTTCCTAGGTTTTTCTACAAGGAATAAAAATCTCAGCTTAACTTTTGAAGGACAAATGACAAAACCACAAGGGAAATCAATTCCTTGTCATTCCATTCAAATTCAGCACATTTCAACTCCCAGAGAAAGCTGGTTAAGGTCAGTCTGGATAGGTGAATAACATGCCATTACAGTGAGCAAAACAGCAACAACTGCATAATGAGACTGCTCAATAAACCTAGAACTGTCTGGCTAGATAAGCAAGTCAGCGAGGCTTTTGGACACTGCTTCACTCTACATGGCAAATGCACGTTTTCAAAGAAAATGTTACATGCCTTCCCTCATCGAGTTTGATGCAATTTTTCTTCCCTCCTCAACTGAGCAACAAAAGAAATGATAGGTACCTCCTTCTCCATAGATGGGGGATGGAAGAATTAAGTGTAGACAGAGATTAAAAACGGTAGATACGAACAATGGACTCTGACTTGGGAGAAAAAAACCCATGTACATTCTGATTTTTCAGGTGGTCTGACATGTTTTTCTTTTTACACCGTGGTACAGATTTTATGGTTGTAATATGACATTTACATGAGTTAACAGGACACCTGCATGACTGGTTCAGTGAACACATATACAAATACTTACCCTTAAAAGTTGAATGCCTTCGAGAGGGATATCGCTTGCTGGGCCTTCTTTCAAATGTACTAGTTCTGCGTAATCTTGTCCCATGTGTTGCTTGATACTCTGTCCGCCCACTTAAAATACAGAAATAAACAAAGTTAGCTACCGCCTTTTGCTGGACACTGTACCTGCTCCTTTTGCATGAACACAAATATATTGCTGTTACTTTGCTAAATACCTGAATCTGAAGCGTGATCCCAGCCTTATGAAGTCGGATCTACTAGATTTACTATTTGCTGGGGCTCGCAATCTGAAGAAAGCATGGTGCTCCACTGCACACTTCCACAAATGTTTGCACGTTTTGGCACTGTCTAACCGGAAAACAAATGTGTGCTCTTGCTCTCTGCCCTAAATGCAGAAACAAAAGCTTTGGAAGTTGGCATGCATGATATTAGTTACTGTCCTCGGCAGGAGAAATACAGCCTGGACCAACAGTGTGCTGAGCCTCCCTTGTGTTCTTACCAGCCTGAGCACACACCACACTTTGTTGGATCAGGCCCAAGTAAGGGAAGAAAGTTACCTGTTCATCATCTTCTACAACCACAAGTGTTAGTTTGCTCTTTTTAAAGTCCATTTTTGTGATTTTAGGCCTAAACACAAGAAGCAAAGAGAAAATTAATGGAAAAATAGCATTTTGTAATCTAGGAGAATCCTCCAAAATGTATGAGTGATCTGCAATCCTGGAACACTTCAGGAATTGTAATAAAAGTATGACTTCCTGGCAATGTGACTATTTTTCAACAAATATTTCACATTTCAGAGTGGTACTTCTAACCAGGCCAATTTACCTTCAGATTTAACCTTGTAGATTCAATCTACATTACAAAATATCGTCAAGACCCCATTATGTAAAGAAGAAAGATTTCAGCATTTTAACAGAAAGGAATATAACACAAAAACAGATTACCAAAAGAATAAGCCTATTTTGTTGGCTCCTTCAAAGATCAATATGCCTGTTGGTGTCAATCCAAGAGCATATTCACAACCATCTCTTCCCTGTAAGCAAGCACAGAATCAATGATCAATATGCCATTAGTAGTGTAAATCTTACTACAGTAGTATGTAAAAATCCATAGGTTTTAAACTAAACAATAAGGTTTGCATATTTTTTTAACATTACAGAGCAGAAGAATATACATCTGTATCAGGTGGAAACTGGCAGGTTTTGGCAACAGGGTGCTGCAGGGTGCCCTGCGTGGGAGGAGGCCGTGTGCTGCCTCAGATGCCTGGGGAAACAGCCCCGCACCAAGACTGCAGCCAGGGAAGCCCACACCTCACCTCACACGTGTTTAAGAGCAAGCAGTAGCTGGCAGGGGAAGAAGACACAAAAGGAGAAATTTGGGAAAAGGCATGTGGAAAGGGACGCTGTGGGAGACATGGCTGGAGATGTACTCTCGAGAGGAGCTTCTCCCTGCAGGAGGAGGTACTTCTGAGGGACAGTGGCCCACGGGCGACCCATGCAGCAGCAGAGGTGCAGCAGGAAGGACAGGTCCGCAGAGGAAAATGAGTGCGAAGCAGGAAGCAGCACAAAGAAACTGTTGTGCGGATGACCCCAACCTTGTGGGCTGCCTTGGGAGGGACTGAGTGTAACCCGCAGGGAAAACAAGGGGAGCTGACACTAGGAAGAGGGGAGGAGAGATGTTGGACTGTTGGACTGAAGCTGGGGAAGGGGGAGGAAAGATGTTTCTGTGCTTGTTTTATTGCCTTCTTTTTTTTTGTCAGTACCCAAATCAGTAACTGAATATTTTAATTGGCAGTATATTAAATTAAGTTAAATTCCCTGAGTTGAGACTGTTTTGCCTGAGACAGCATCTCCATGCAATGTTCTGACCCCACGTTAGTAAAATAAAGTGTAACATGGATCTTACCTTTACTACGTGCATATCTACACCATACATTTCTAGCCATTTAGCTTTGTTCAAGTAGCACAATTCGGCCTGCGCCGGGCTCTTTCCCCTAAGAACAAAAAATATATTTATACTTTACCATACAAAATTTTTGTCTGTTTTAAATGTTTTAAAATTTGTTCCCCTATCCCTTTTCTTTGGGCCCTCAATCTTAATGACACTAAACGGTATTTCAAGCTTAGGTTATATTTCTACCCTCTTCCCTCCAAATGAAAATAAATCGGAGAGACAAAAATTGAAAAAGGTCTAAAATTGCCAATAAGGATGAGAGTTCAGGTAAGACAGCATCACCAAAATGTACCATATTTATTAACAAAAGACAGGCAAAAGCATTTGCTGAACACAAAACTTTGTGTGCATGCGTGAAAGAAGGAGAGAAAGAGAGAGAAAAAGAATTATTTCCAACATAAACAGAAAAAAGATCAGACTGCTTAAACTGTTATGAAATAATCTAAAGAAAAACAAACAAAAAAAAAGAAAACTCACCCCACCAACCTTCCATAAATTACCACTTGACATTTCTAGGGAGGGGAGGGCTCAAAGTCTATCTATAATACTTCTCAACTGACAAACATAATCACCATTTTATATCTGTTGAAGGGATTCTCATGGACATATTTGACTTTGGAAGAGAAGAAAACCTCGTGTTGCTAGAGGCACCACTCCCACACAGGTACCCCTACCTGCAAAAAATGTCAAATTCCATTGCTTCGGTTTGGTTTGGTGCAAACCTGAATTCAGACACGAGTTCTGGTGTGTGCTCTGGGTGCTCACACTCTCCCAGCTCAGCTGCAATCAATCAGTTGAAAAGTTAAAAACATAAAGATCATGGGATGACCAGAAATATTTAATTCCATCATCTCCACAAAGACAATGATAGTTTGTAAGTTTCTAAACATGTTGTAGAAGAATACACTTGTGCCGATGTTGTAAGTTAAGCCCCCTCCCGGCTCCCAAACTCAAATCAGATTTTACAGCAAAAGTCAGACAAACGCATTTGCAGGAGCAGTGTAAGGTTATGGTACAGAATTCTGACATTCAAGAATGTTAGAACTAAACCCGCTTAACTAAAGCTGCTTCTCTGGATTTTAAAGCATTTAAGGGAAATAAAGTTTCTATGCACTACTGTTTCAGAATACGTTACTTTGAAACTTCCTTTCATTGCAATGAGGTCATACCTTTCATTCCACAACACTTCCCATTCTCTTGCATGCTTTGTTACGTTACTGTTCATGTCAAAACACGAAGATAATACCTAGTCTCAGAAACCAGTGATAAAGTTGTGGGTTTTTTTTAAAACCACAGTGGTGGTATAATATTCACATTATGTAATTTTTAAGGAAAGAAACGTTGAAGTGTTAACATAATTGAGGTGTCACTTTCTACTTATTTACTTAGAGCCTGGTATCTTCTTTTCTAGGAGCAGAACACTTTCAAACTCTACTGGGCTCAGCAGGAGATGCAAGTGCTGAGCATCTCAGTGACTGACGCCCTTAGCTGTCTTGTGCCGGCGACATGCTTTGCTCCTGGAACCTCTCAGCTATACAAAGAGCCTGCAATGTCACTGCTAGGGACTGTGGGACAAACATCAGTGGCAAATACACTGTTCAGCAATACCATGTGTCACCTGACATATGATGTGATTCCAAACCAGGCCTTTGTCAGTCGGTGGTGCTTGACTACTACTACGATTACTACTAAAAATAAAAAAAAAAATTAATAGAGGGAAATGAAATCCCTTGAAGAAAACAGTTTTATTGCTTCAGGGCAGTTTTACACATAAGAGTTGCAAAAATATAATTCACTCTCAGTCTTCAAAAATACCTAGCAGGATACATTAGAACACAGAAGTTACATTCAAAATGCAATCTGTTGACTGATACACCTACTAGGTGGTTTTGAGCACTTGAGCTTTGCTCAAACATTTAGCATTCCTGAGGATTAACAGATTTTGTTCACTGATCTTCATTTCTACCTACAGCCTCACACACATATTTTCTCTGCAACAGTAATCTTCCATGGTGAGTTACAGTATTCTTATCTACATGTCTTTAACAGAGCTATCTCAGCTCTGCTGCTGTTTCATCTAAGTTGGAAGCCTATTTAACACAGATGTTGCTTAGAATTACTGGCAGTCCAGTCTCCAGTATATAAGAGGGAGCCACAACAAACACATTAGCAAGGAGGACTTCAGGGAAAAAAAGTAAGAAACTGAAGTTTGATGTGTTGACAACCATCTAGGAAAAACACGGGAGAGTCTTCTACTAGTTAACTGAGAGAGAAGGCAGGGAATGAAGGCTGACTGTGCTGTAAGGAGGATGTGTAAGGATGAGAAGAATCACGAGCACATAGGACAAAAGGTACACAGAGAAGCTAGGGCAGAAGTATTGGGTACAAGAAAAATATCACCCTTGTTTCTCAATAGCTGCACTCACTATTTATTCACTTTCAGGCAAACAAACGATGTCATCATTTTGATCTCTAAGAAATAGGTCTTGAGAGTAACAGCCAGTAAGAGCCTCATCAGCTCCCCGCACGGGGGAGGGCAGTGGAAGAATGGGGAAGCGTGGGCTCCGTACGAGGATGCTCTCACTAGTGTCTTTCCTGGTGGAACTATGTTCCCTGAATGGCTCAGCAACTCTAATATTTTTCAACACAAGGGCACAGCAGAGGACCCATCTCTTCATTTGAGGTTTTATAACGAAGTATAATGCTTTGGCATGCCCGTCCTCTGGTCTTTTTGTTTTTTTTTTGGGGGGGGTGGGGTGTTACATAACGCATTTATATACATTATCTGTGTTGTTTAATAAATAACTGCATAAACTGGGGGACATTTTTAAAAGTAAGTTTCCTAGAGAGTTTTTGAAAACTGCGAAAATGTGTTTATCTGTAAATATATTGTTGATTCTTTTACACAGACGGAAAAAAGAAGTTTGCACTATCCCATGAAGATGTCTTATGTTTAGAACTGAAAACTGGAGATCTGAGAAAAAGTTTTCCTTTTCAGTTTAACCAGTAGTTTCAAAAGTACACCTGGTTAAATACGAAAGCCACACAAGACTAATGAGGTAGTTAAAAACTTACTCTAGCAGTGACCATTCAAACTTGATTACAACCTTTCTGCAGACAATCCCTGAGCGAAGCATGTGATTATGCATCTGCTTCACAAGTTACCCCATACTGCAAATCGATGCTATTGGCTACAGCAGTTCCTTCATGGGACTGTCAACAAACCAACAATTTATGTTTGAAAGATGATTCACACGAAACACCAGCCTACGAAACTGTTTTTTGAAACAAAAAAAGAATTACTGTTACAACTTCCTTGATAAAGAAAACGTATGAAGTTTAAAGCTGTCCTGTAAAGAGAAAAGGCCTTTCTTTCAGAGAGTTAGAGCACCGATTCCTAAATAGGCTTTTGTAACTTCTTCCTCACTCTTAGGAAAGCAACACTAAGGAGCAAGATCGGATTTCACAGAGTACATGTAACCTACTGAGGAGGGAATAATCATTTGACCTTTCTTTAAACTATTGTGCTTAATTAAAAGCTTCCAATGTCAATAAAATGTAAGAAATGTTATTAAAAACCTGCTAATTATAGCATATGCCAGCAGAGATAAATAAATTAGTTGCAATAATGAAATAATTTTGGAGAAACTTATTGTGATGATGTCAAAATAGTGGAAAACTGAAACTGAAAAAATGACAGCAGAAAAGTATAAAAATGCTACCACAATTTAAATACATCCCCACAGACAGTGTAAAGCAGTGTTAGTTTTGGTACCTAGTTGGAGACATTATAAACATGACGGATGGCTATTGTATTACATTTACATAGTAATCACAGGTTTTAGTTACTACCCAAAATGTTGAGGCATCAACCTATTATGCTTTGCTGGTTCTCCTTGCTTAGACCAGGGGTGAGGTTACTGGTGTTTTTATCTGTGAAAATGGAAGCAACGAATCAAATACGGGCTTCAGATTTTCTCCATCTCAAAAAGACAAACGGAGTTTGTCTGCAGAAGTTCTTTGCACACCTAACAATCAAAGCTGTGCCAGACTGGTGCAGACGGAAACTGAAAAATAACCCACTGTCTTAAGATTTACACCGGTTGCTATTTGGATCTGAATTCCCAGTTTTGACTGTCAAGTCCATCTACAATCACTGAGTTATCTCCATTCCTGTATTAAACTAAGAGACTCTGCCTAAGCACTCCATGTACCATTGTCAACCACCAGCGGAACAGGAAGAGTATTCTTCATTTCACTCCTTTGCTGCCTAGAATGATCCAGATCACTGCACTTTCTTTTAGAAAAAATGAACTTGATTTGAGCTTCATTACACAAGTTTCCACCCTATCTGTGAAACAAAACACCTGAAATGGAATGAATATTTGTATTAACATGTTCGCAGCAATAAAAAAAAACCTTTTTCCTACAATAAACTAATGAAGCTTAGTATCCACGTTTTTTTTTTTTGATCTTGTAACCCTTGCTCCTGACACAGAATTAATCTTATTTCTTACCCTTCCATACAATTCTCTCCTCTCCAGAACCTGCCACCCCCTCCCTCCTGCCCTGTAACCATCTTCTGTCTCACACACGGCAGAGGCTCGCTCTCCCAAGCACTGGCAAGGCAGCAGGCAGCCCATGTTCAAAGCTACACCTGCAGGGACCTGCCTGCCGCAAAGCATGTGCTGATGGGCCAGCTGGCTCTTCAGGCTGAAGAGGTAACAGTGCACACACACCACAGCTTCTCCCTCAGCAGGGAACTATTTGGGGTCTTTCTTCCCTCGTCAGCCCACGGTTTCCATGAAACCTTTGTCTGTCCATGCCTTTGAGGCTCCTTCCCCTCGGCAAGTGTGCTGACGTTGCCTAATGTAGTTCAGAAGTTACAAAGGCAGGGAAGGCAGGGAAGTGACCTCCCTAAAATTCTTTTCCTCAGGTAAAGAAATGTCATTTATATATGATCAATGAGAAATCATTAGTAACAAAGAATGAAAAGAAACTAGTAGGCCAGTTTTTTAACACACTAAGACAAACCACTTTCAAAAGATTGCATACCTTGAAGACACAGAGCTGCTAGTTCAACAGCAGTTTCATAAGGGCATTTCAGTCTTAAAAAGAAAAAAAACAAGCTATAAAAATAATGTCTTTTTTCTCAGTGAGTTCTTTTTGCAACAGGGCTAAAAAGTAGTCTGATACATGAAATGGAAATGTTAACTTCCACAAGATCCCTTAAACCACATGCTATTAATGATACGAAACATCTACAATTGATTTTTACTTGCATATGATTATTTCCTAATTTGGTACATTCTAATTAGCACTAAACACATGATATGCTCCACCATAAACCAAGCTTGAACTAATAGAGACAACACTAAATCAACTAAGAAATAGTTTTTGCTCCAACACTGTATTTTAGAACATGTGGCTTTGGGTCTTTTTGGTTTCATAATTAAAAAAAAAAATAGAGCAGGTGTGAATTTATTGGCTAGGGTGCGACTATAAACACACAAAATATTTTTGCAGGGTTGACCTGTACAGAAAGTGTTGCACTTCATCATCTTTTCCTTCTCTACTTTACCTACCATACTGAAATATATGGCAAGTCCACGTTACATTTTCAAGTCATAAAGATCAGAGAACAGTCTTTGCTCTCTTTATACACTTCCATCACCTAGTCAATCCATCAAAGGTCTTTACTCATTCTATTTGTGAATAATATAGTCATGATGCATACAAAGCCATAGATCTTTGTATTCTACAGGAAAAAAAATGCACGTGGAACTGTAAATCATGCTTATAATCTGTGCACAAATACCATAAAGAATTAAAAAGATCACACAGTTAAAGTAAAATTTTAAATCACTAAGAGATTAACTGTTAGAAATACTTTAAATTACAGCTGCAAGAGCAAAGAGATACTTACTTCCCTGAAAGAATGTCTTGCCGGAGCTGTAATACAAACAGGTACCTGACAAATGAAAATTCAGAAAGTCAGAAGTATATATGATGTCATCTTTCTAGCCCCAATGGATGGAAAAATATCCCAATTCATTGAGTAGTCACAACATTTTCATTAACTTGCTCTTAAAAAAAGGGCCTTTGGGATCACTCAGATACACCCTTCAAAGTTCCCATAGCCTTCACTAAAATCAAAAAGAAGAGAACATTTTTCACCTACTAGCTGTGTTCAGGACATTGTCCAAAGCCTTGCTGTTTAGGGATGTGCTCTATCTGAGCATACACCACAGCAACCTAAATCTTATTGACACTCCAATGTTCTCTGAACTGGGTCTTGCCCAATTCAAGCAAGAATTGAACTATATGATCTAGAGACAAAACACAGATAAAGGCATGAGGACTCCAGGGCTACCTTCTCAAAGAGAAATACAGAACACGGAGGAAGTCCAAACTGGGCAAAAGGAAAAGCTCAGACTGAATTTTCACTTAAAATAGCAGAAAAGTTCTGAATAAAAGAAATCTTTTATTTAGTAGGCCAAGTAGGAATTTACAGTCTTCAAACTGTAGTAGTATTTTAAGCTTTCGCTAATCTTTGGTTCTAGGCATGCTTCATGTTTTGTCACAGCCACTCAGAGTTGGGGTTTGAGACATGCAGAAGTGCTGCAGGCCATGCAAGAGCTCTGTACAGGACAGGATGGCACAGGCAGGCTCTGCACTGCTCTGGACGCTGCGGGGTGAGGCCTGCAACGATGAGTGACTCAAGAGAAGAAAGCATGAAAGCACTACTGAGAGTCAACCCAGTAAACGTGAACGTAAACCTCTCCTATCTTTACAAAGGATGCTAGAAAGACTAAGTGTTTTTCATCACAGAGGATGTGCTGTGAATGTGGTGAAGGATGAATAGCTGGAATTAGACAGGGGAACAGAAATGAAAAGGAAGATTAAAAGACTTCTCATGATACACTAAAGCAGAATCAGATTTATCCATGTTAGCTCTGTGTTACACCTCTGATTCACATACTTGGCTAATACCTGACTTGCCAATCAAACCTGGGTATTTGCGTGCATAGATTAAGGGTAGGCAAGTATACTTCCTGTTCTCACTGTTTTTCCCTGATGATTCACAATCCCATGAACTCTTCTAAATTTGCAAGAAAAATCTGGGCAGTGCTTCTATCAGCGTCAGTCAGCCTATGCAGTGCTGCAGCTCTGCTCTCTAGTTGGTATGGCTTACTCTTGCTCCTTTTCTGCATGCAGACTGACAATCATCGGCATCTCTATTCTTGACATTCCAAATCAGCAAAATACCTTAGAAAATTCTCCACAACACACATGTACAGACACATTCCTCTGTTGTTTTTCTAACTAACTAACCAGGTCCCATAAAAGTGACAGAAGATGTCTTCCAAAATGCACTGGATTTCAACTGTGTTTTTAAATTGGAAAAAGACAGAGTGGGTGAAGGGTTTCAACACTTCCCCATTACTGTGCTAATTATGAGAAACTGGAGTCTACTAGAAAACAGGTCTCCACAAGGAATTTTGAACACCCCCCCAACCAGGCCAGTTCACAGTTATTGCTAATGATCATTTTTCTTCCTCCTCTTACTCCCATTCCATTTCTACTTGGAATAATTATGAGTATATAGTTGCTAATCTTAACTTTTTACTCAACATGCTACATGGAAAATATCATCCAGCCAACATAAAGATTCTTAAGAGAACAGCAACATTCAAAATTACTTTCTCCAACAAAAAAAGAAAAATGGAACCATTTGTTCACTATAAAATCAATTTCCAGCTCATTTTCATTTTCCTTCCATAGTTTCACAGTGGTCTTCTGTCAAGCTTATAGTTAAAAAAACAAATGTTCCTAACACTGAAAATTAAGCTGACTAAAGTGTTTTTCTAATTAAAATAGTCTTCTGAAATGCCACCTTTCAGCAATAATTAGATTACAAAACATCAGAGGTTAATACTTTCAGAGAAAATGTCTTACTCGATCACAGCAATGATCACATAGCTCAGAAACACACACCTCACAGTGACTAGGATCATATACTTCAGAGGAGTACGCAAGAAATCTTGTGGTGGACAGTAATGGAATAATTTGAACACAGGGGAAATGTAATACTTGTCAGACAATGCACCCTGATGCACTTATGTTAATTTTCAGAAAATATATATTATTCCTACTAATTTAAAATGCATTTTCTCACTAGAGATGCCCCAAAATCATCCAGGTTTTTGGATTCTCTAAGATCTTATATTCAACTACATAAGTGGCAGGGAGTTCTATAGGTTAATTGTATAGGTATATGCCCTTTTACTGAATTAACATTGCTGCACTAAATTGATCATAGATATTAAAGCCCCTACGTTAGTCTCCTAAGGTGGTGACAATTAGCTCTTTGATCTTGTCTCAGGCAGTGAAAAAAAATACATGGTCAACACAGCAGATATGAAAGGAGAAAGTAAACATATGGCTGCAGGCATAAGTTTAATGTAAACATCACATGCACATGAACTACAATAATCAACAATCTTTAAACACCTTAGGCTGATTGGGAGTACACTGATTATTGCCAAGCAAATTAGAAGACATAGAAAGTGCCCTACAGTGAGAAACAGAACAAAAAAAAAAGATAAAATAATATTAAGATAGATGATTACTGTAAGAAGAAGACACAAAGTTGGCAGATACAAAAGAGAAGTTAACCCTTTTCCTCCAGCTGCTCCTTTCCCAATTTTCAGAATATCCTCTAGATCACACTAGGGTGCTACAAACCCAGCAAGGTACAGTCCTCACAGCCCAGAAAACAGCCCACCAGATTGAAACAAAAGACCTCCAGGTATTCTAAGGTGACTTTATACAATGCAGTCTTTACACCTTTTGCACCACAGAGAACTCGTGGGGAAGTGAAAGAGATTCAATCAACCGTTAACCAAGAACTCAAGTTGTCTATTCCCACAATTCTGTGGCTCCTGTACCATTATTAAATCACCCGCAAGTCTCAGAGCAAGGGGGGCAAAGCAGAGCACTGGCATTTTAGCAGGACATAATGGAAAATCCTCTCAGAGGTATGGCAGGTGTCACTGGTGTAAAGAGCAGCTGTCTCCCAGCTGCAGCTCTCCCCACCCAACGCTGTCTTTCTTTGCTAACTTCGAAGCACCGGAACACAGCATCTCCTACAGACTAAAACACTTGGAGAGTCCCATGAATGGTTTTGGGCAAATAAAAAAGATTATGTTTCTCTGACGGTAGGAAAACACATAAGAATTCAGACAAAATAACCACTCTCAGTAAGAAAGCTCAAATCACTTGCTTACAGTACCCCCGTGTACCTTAGATGTCTTATTTACCCCTCTGCCAGTCACCCAGTTCCTACCTTGTAAACTCCTCATGAAGATTGTTCGGTTCTGATGAATAGTACTTAATTCGAAAATGCAACGTGTACGGAGGTCCAACTGTATATGCAGAGATTTTAAATGGGGAAAAAAAGTTTACACTAGCTACAGTTCTGCTAAGGCAGAACAACAGCCACCACCCCACAACCCAAGAAACCCAAAATGAAGTATGTTTTTCAAATTCTTCAAAGAAGCAAGTAATTCATGTTTTTAAATTTAAAAATGCATGCAATAAAAAAATTCTATGGTTACCATACTTTATGATACTCTAATCATTAGATTAATAAAGCAACAGTCCATTTGGCAAACACATTTTTGTTCAAAGAGGTGTGCCCCGCAGCACGCTGTGAATGACAGCAAGTTCCAGGTACACTGCCTGTTACTGGGCGCAGGGGGAGATGGAAGGGAGACGGTGATGCTTCTTGTTACCAGGCACAAACACAACTCCAAAAAAACCCCCACCCAATAGATCAGCTTTCAATTGATACACATGAATGAGAAACAGTAAGATAAATAAGGTGAAAAGTGCTGGAGAGGACTCTGGAAGGCACTCATGAACACAGAAAGCTAACAAATTCCACAAAGTGGAGTTGCAAGAATTGTTGTTTTCTAATGCCAGAAGGCGAATGCTAGGTCTGACTTTCTATGTAGCACAGATAACAAAATGTTACCCAGCTACCATGAGACTGATCAATGCATCCTTATCTGCCTAAGCCTCATATTCTAGACCAACAGCCTGCTGGTGTATTTTCTAAGGTCTTCTGTAACACCACATCAACACAGTATATATGTGCCTATTAACGATCCATTCTACTAAATGACGTGCAGCCAAAACTCTAATAATTAGAGCTTTGACATTGTCTCCAACGATAGCTCCTAGAAGACAGGTTATAGTGCCCTAGGCTGACAGTTAGGCACCACTGGTAAGTCTGCATCAGTGAGATGAGGATTCTTACCTGCCCACTGCTGGGAAAAAAAGAGCAGTGAGCAACATCCATCATGAAAAAGGAACTCTTCTCAAAGCACCTGCTGAATGCAAGGTAAAGAAAAGTACCCTGTTGTGAGACAGACCTTCACAACACTCATCAAATTGCTTTCCTCTTTGATGTTCCTCAGGGCAGGGCTTAGCCAATTTCTTTTTAAAACAGGCCCTTCACAGATTAAACACAGACAAAACAGTGCAACTAAACTGGTTGAAGGTGTCACAGAATCGTTGATTTTCCACATTTTAAGACAGATCTAGAAACGGACAAAGCTATCACAGAAAATGCACCTGCAAATCACTTAGTCACTTAAGGTAAAGCAGTCTGCAATATGATGAAAAGGTGAGAGAAAGCCAACCACCAAAACCACAGCAGCTATCTTTACCATCTGTTCTAGCAGACTGACACCCACACACTGTGGGGTGAAAGCAAACTGTCCTAAAGGCCTTTGAAGAACTCCACCATTTACAAAAATCGTCTAGATATTTGGATACTTATCAGAAAGAAAGGCAAAGCACCACTGAAGCAATCAAGACCCATCTCTGTGAGGTCCTGCAAAGGGGTCAACAACTTCCTTGCAAAACGCTGTATTTTAATCTCACAGGAGCGACAGTATCAGTTGGCCTATGGCTGTTGCCAATTGCAGTATATTAACAAACCACGTTAGTGCCGATGCTGTACTGTACCCAAGTCTGCAACCAGATTATTAGAGATCCAGGAGCAACTTGCCTGCCTTAGCCAATTTCCACAAAAAACTCAGTGGCCAAACCCAACCCCTCTACCCAAAGTCCCTTTGATGGAACAGCAGATATTTCTGCTAGTTTTATTTATAATATACAAAAAAGAGGTCGACTGTTACACAATGAAATATTTTCCATTTACTCTTTGAAAAAAAACCAGGAAATTTGTTCTGGATCAGAAGCCATGACGGAAACTGTGATCTGTGTCCAGGCAACCTGATTTCAGATTGAAATTACCTGGCAACCTACTCTGCCTCAGACAAACAGCATATGTTTAACGAGGGCTACTGAAGGCTGGTCTATTGCTTATAAGTGCTCTTGCATTTAGACATGACATAGTCAGCCAATTAGCCATTAAATTAAATCTATTTCCTAAGAAATATTTATTCCATTAAAGGCCATATTTAAACATTTGCAATCACGTTCAAATACTGTAAGTTCAAATTCTTAAGGAAGTAACAAAATAAACAGGCAGAGACATGGTACTTACTTTTTATTTGTTTCTTAATGAATTTTGAATGGTCCAACCAGTGCTAAAAAAAAAAAATCCACGTTTAAAAGCAGTTCCATACAATAAACTAATTACAATAAATTCAACAGATAAAAATATCTTAAAAGGAAATACTGCCATATTTATTTGCTAAACTTCCACACATTTGCAAAAGTGTTTATTTGCACATTTACCAACTTACCTTCTTTCATGGGGGAAAGCTTGACTTATAAATGCATCAGTACTGCCAGGGAAGTTTCACTCTTCCAGAGAGGAAACCTCAAAATCCAAAGCCACAAAGCAGTGGTGTGTAAGGCAAATACCCATTCGTCCCCAGGTTTAACTGTTGCCCAAGTGCCCCTGAGGACAGCAGGCCAAACCCCTGGGTTTCATTCTCCTTTCAACTCCCCTGTTTGATGGAGACCCTCCAGATCCTGTACTGTCCTGCCTTCCATGGCTCCATAGCCAAGTTTTTTCAAGATAAGGATGATGACTTAACCCCCACTAAAAGCATTTGGCAAACACTGATGCATACCCCCCTCCCCTTTCTAAACTACTGGCAAAAGATCTTGAATAGATGCAACTATGATGACAAAAAAGTATGCTTCCCAGCAAAGTTTATGCACTCTCTCATCAGTGCAAATTGCACCTACAGAAGAGTAGCAAGAAACACTCTAGTGTAAATTTAGCTTACATCTTTGACTGTCTCTGCACAAGGTCCTACACAAGGCTGCAATCTGATTTGAAGCAACCCCATGTAAATGCTCCTGTCACACAAGGTAATAAAACAGTATTTGGACTTCCTTGAAATAAATGGTTTTCCATCTTTACATATATATTTATTTTAAAACAATAAACTGGGTACTATGGAACAAAATCTTAGGAGAAAAAAACGTTTCCTTCCTCCCTATTAAAGCATTCATACTTTCAGAAAAAGGAGAATCTCTGAATGACTACTTATCATTCCACTAACACCGCGCTACCATGGCTAACTAAATGTAAAAAATTATTTGTTGGATAGTAATGCTGGTATTTATTTACTAAGCATGTCCTCAGCTAAGGCAAAAATTTATTTATCACAGGTATAGAAGGGTATAGATCAAAAGTCTGACAACTTACGCCCCCTGAGGTAAATAAATCTCACAAAAAAAGGAGAGAGAGAAAGAGAAATGGAACAATTATTCTGTAGGTGCTTTTATTTGCATGAGACTTGCTAGACTCTCTTAGGTGGGGCTGCCAAGGAACCCATCCTTACAATCTGAGAAATCTCTACCCGAGTGGAAATAAAACATTACAGCAGCTCATACAAATACATTCCTTAGAGTTGCACGTAATTTATTGTGTCTCTACTTTGCTCTTTTATTTGATATGGAAAAAATATCAACATTGAAACTTTGCTTTTTTTACTGAAATTATACAAGTCTGTTCCTTTCACACCTCAAGGGCAGACTAATTTTTTACGCTTCAAATACTGAGCTACAAAAACGTCTTTCTCCTCAATATTTATTTTGGCTAAAGATAAACCACTCACAAAGACAAATATACTGATTCCATTAAAATAGAAGTTTAGCTTCATGTTAAATAAAACCGAACATGAATAACATCTATACTACAGGCAAAAATCCTCCAATAACTTTTCATCTGTGGCTCATGTTAGTATCATGTTCAGAAATAAGCACTGCACAAGCTGAACTACAATAATTCCCAATGAAATAACAGCTGATAGTCCCAATCTTGGAATATGGTGTTCTAGATGTATTAAAACTCAAATAACAGCAAGTTTCAAACAGATTATTCATAAGTGTAAATACTTCAAAGAAGGTTTAAAAATAACTAACAAGGCTCTAGGAACTACTTGCGCAGACCATTAAATGAGACTATAGCCTAGACAGGAAACTATCATTCACTCTCCGTACCCAAGCAGCCAGAGGCAGACTGCTCCAGGAGATAAAACACAGCAAGCATTAAACTCATCTCTCTTCAGAAGCAAGAATGAGCTGCCGTTTTACCCCCACCCCACAGTGCACATCATGGCTGTGTGTGATGTGGCCACCACAAAAATCACAAAATAAAAATATGGAGGTAGGACATGGACTGGCAGTATTATTGGCCCAGAGTTCCCAGGCCTGGCAGTTTTTCATGCAGGTTTGTGAATCAACACCAATTTAAAAGTCAGATATTTTGTGCCACTTCTGTGAAAATCAGGCTGAATTTCAACACTCCTTTGCCTCAGATAATGTCGGAGGGCTTCTTCACACTGGAAATCATACCAGCTTTCCAAATGCCCCTTTGAGCTCAAAAAATTTCATAGCATTCTAGCTAAAGCCAAAAAAAGGCCTTGGCCACATACTGCTTGCTGACTCAAGAACAGGAAAGTGAAAGCAATGAATTCTGAAGTCTCACTAGGAAGCTGAATAAAACCAGAGGGGACTTTTGATCTCTAAGCACCTATGACTGTAGCTCTGCCTATCTGGTGCTCTGGTTAAACAACTGTACATCACTTCAGGATCCAAACTCATCAAATAAACTTAACTATGGATCTCACAGTGTAGGACCAAGGCTGACCTCGTTGTTATTTCAACTATACAATGCCACTTTCCCTATATCCAGTCTGGACTCAGAAGTATCAGTGCAGAACAAGGAGAAGAGAAGGGATTAATTGGTTTAGGACTGTGTTATGATAGGAAGAGAGTGTCTAAGCTACTTTGCCCACAGTAGGGGGAAAAAACCCCCAAACCTGGTCAAACTGCAGGTAATCAAAATTCTATGATTACTTTAGAATAGAATAGAATAGAACAGAACAGAATAACCAGTTCAGTTGTAAGGGACCTACAATGACCATCTAGTCCAACTGCCTGACCAATTCAGGACTGACTGAAAGTTAAAGCATGTTATTAAGGGCATCGTCCAAATGCCTCTTAAACACTGACAGGCTTGGGGCATCGACCACCTCTCTAGGAAGCCTGTTCCAGTGTTTGACCACCCTGCCAGTAAAGAAATGCTTCTTAATGTCCAGTCTAAACCTCCACTGATGCAGCTTTGAACCATTCCCATGCATCCTGTCCCTGGATCCTAGGGAGAAGAGACCAGCACCTCCCTCTCCACTTCCCCTCCTCAGGAAGCTGTAGAGAGTTTGAGGTTGCTCCTTTAATTCTGTCAGGTGAACTGGAAGTTCAAATGCTGGATTAACTTCCATTTATTCCTGTTTAATCCCAGTATAATTTCTTTGCTTTGCCAAATGAATAATGTTTCCTATGGTATTAACTGACATAAAACAGTAGTCACTGTGAATGTGCTGAAAGCACACACCAATCAATTCCACATGAAAGAAACACCATTTTGAAAAAAGATTTCTTAAAATCCTGAAAGCACATATTCATCTCAGCATGCTCTCCTGTTGATCACTACTTTATCTAACTGAAGAGGAAAAAATAAGTACCTCAACACTTCGTAAGTGGTAGCAACCAACATTTTCTCAAAATAGTCACGCAGCAAGGGAAGATGTATTTGTGTCCAGATATAGCAGATAAACTATAGCTACCGGAGCAGTCTATGTAAAGACCACAGTGACTGCCAAATGAAGACTGAAAGGGGGAGAACCACAGATTGACACAAACCCATCACACACCTGAGCTTTGCAAATTCCACCACCTCTCTACTTGCTTCCCTAAAAGAATGAAAAATCCTTGTCTTAATCTATACAGCCCTCAAAGGTGACCTGAAAAGGAAAAAAATTGCATTTGACCCTTTTTGGTTGGCTTGCTTTGCTAGTTTAAAATGCATGAAGAACATCCTGAATAGACTGCTTTCCCTTATGCTTATTTATATACTTAGCTATCAGTAAGAGAAAGCGCATTCTTACTGGAAGTTTTATTTGCTCTCTGAAAAATATTGCTTAAATGCTTTCTCAAGCCTTACCTGGAGGTACAGGAGGGAAAACCATCCTAAATGCTCAGGTTGAGAAAAGAAGGTGTGCCAAACAAAAACTGGCACCTTTAAAACCAAAAGTCAATTATCCCTTCAACTGTCATCTTGCTGTCTGATTTCCTAGGCACCTGAATCTTACCATGCTGTCTGCCATTAGCCACATGGCCTTCTACAGCAGAGAGGATAAAAATGTATGTAACGGGACGAAAGAATCACCAAAATCAATAAAAACCCTACCCACCAAACCACAGTTTGGGGACTTCTCTACACATAGAAAGTTAAAAAGTAACAAGGACAAAAAGCCCTTTCCTCTTTTCTTCTGAAGGTCACCAAATGAGAATTGGGGTCATTTAGAAACTCGGACTACACAAGCATATACTTAGAAACGGTATAAGCTCCCAAGAGTTCACAGCTTAAAACGATAAAAAGATTGTTCTTTCCACTCATGTAAATTTCTTTGATCCATCCTAGAAAGTTATGTTCCTCTTGAAATTGTAGATGCAGAGAAAAACTGCTTTCAGATAAATTGCTCAGATACAACTCAAGATTTAATGAACACCAGGGGTGATACTGGTATTTTCAATAGGAAGCAGGGTGATGGGACACAATGCACCTCCGTAGAGTTACTAGTCACTCCAAACTGCAGAGAGAGAGCGAGCTGCGACACAGAAAGGCATTTCTAAACTGGCTGGAGAAATTATTTAAATTAGGATTCTGTGAGGTCAACATGGACAATTATAGCACTCTCAAATCACAGGCTAAGCCCCAAGGGAGAGGGGAGGAGAGCACCTGGCTACCATTGGGCTGCTGTGCCAGGGTGACAGGAGGAGACTCTCAGAGGGCCACCGAGGTCCTTGTGGCCTAGAAGTGAGCGTTTTTCAGTCTGAGGACAAGAAGCCCACCCAAGGAGTGACTGACGATGAAGCCAGACCCTCTGTGGCAGTGCACAACGAACAGCAACAGATCAAGCAAAGAAATTAAGAGAGACAGTTTTTGTTTTGGTGTGGTGATTTGACCTTGGCCGGTCACCAGGTACCCACCAAGCTGCTCTATCACTCCCCCTCCTCAACTGGACAGGGGAAGAAAATATGGCGACAGGCTTGTGGGTCAAGATAA